AATAACAAACAGAAGTAACTGAGGCATTCAAAATTTAAAAATACATTATTTAATAATAATACTTTTTTTTAAAGTCACCATGGAAGCATGACAGGGGAACAAGTCATTTCAAAACCTGAGAAATACAAGGGAAGCATCGAGCAGTAACTGTGCCCCTCTTAGACTCACTGCACCAAGAGGGGACCAACTAGTGGATGAGGGGAAGTTTTCCTTTTAGAACTACTCTAGTAAATGGCATCTGGTCCCATCACTTCATGGCAAATAGATGGGGAAAAAGTGAAAACAGTGACAGATTTTATTTTCTTGGGCTCCAAAATCACTGCAGACAGTGGCTGCAGCCATGACACTTGCTCCTTGGAAGAAAAGCTATGACAAATCTAGACAGCATATTAAAAAGCAGAGACATCACTTTGCTGACAAAAGTCTGTCTAGTCAAAGCTATAGTTTTTCCAGTAGTCATGTATGGATGTGATAGTTGGACCATAAAGAAGGCTGAGTGCCGAAGAATTGATGCTTTCAAACTGTGGTGCTGGAGAAGATTCTTGAGAGTCCCTTGGACAGCAAGGAGATCAAACCAGTCAATCCTAAAGGAAATAAACCCTAAATATTCATTGGAAGGACTGATGCTGAAGCTCCAATTCTTTGGCCACCTGATGTGAAGAGCTGACTCACTGGAAAAGACCCTGATGCTGAGAAAGATTGAGGGCGAAGGAGAAGGGGGCAACAGAGGATGAGATGGTTGGGCAGCATCACCGACTCAATGGACATGATGAGTCTGAGCAAGCTCCGGGAGATCGTTAAGGAGAGGGAAACCTGGTGTGCTGCAGTCCATGCAGTCTCAAAGAGTCAGACACAGCTTAGCCACTGAACAACAAGAATAAAGTAAATGAAGAAGAAATGTGAACTTATAATACCAATTTTGCAACCCACAGTGAATTGAAACAGCTGGTCAATGATCATCCAGTGCTGCTAACTTCACAGAAAAAGGGAAACATGAGGTATTAGGTCCCTCCTGATGGAAAAGCACACTGCCTCCCTTGAAGCAGTCTTTCTCACCCCCCTCCCCAAAAGAATCTGATGAAGCTTCTAGATCTAATTACTAATTTACAGGAAATAAGGGCAGATAAAAGTAACACTATGAGAATGCAATTACTAAAATCCAGACTATGGGAAACTGAACAAAACCAAAAATGTAAAAATAAATCAAACATCTACTTCCAAATTAAAAAACCCTTATGGAGAAGGAAATGGCAACCTAGTAGTCTTGCCTGGGAAATTCCATGGATAGAGGAGCCTGGTGGGCTACTGTCCATGGGGGCTCAAAAGAGTTACACACGACTTAGTGACGGAAACAACAACAACAAAAGCTAACACAACATTATAAAGCCAGCCTACTGCAATAAAAACAGTAATTGATTTTAAAAAAACCCTTAGTAGTACAGCTTTAACAAGATATATATAAACAAGTTGAAAAGCAATTTCATGAGTATTGGTGAAATTCCCAAGAAAATGTTGGGGAAAAGGAAAAGATGTCTGTTGATGTGCTAGAAAAGAAGACATGTAATGTAATGAGGGGGTAAAATGATCATAATCATTATTTGAAAGTGAGATAATTAATTCTGGGAAACCCAGGAAAGAAAACAAAACTATTAGGAAAAACAAATAATTCAATAGATATATGTTTAAAAAATTAATATGTAAGAATCAGAGAAATGAAAATTAAAACCACAATGAGGTACCATCTCACACCAGTCAGAATGGCTGCTATCAAAAAGTCTAGAAACAATAAATGCTGGAAAGGGTGTGGAGAAAAGGGAACCCTCTTACACTATTGGTGGGAATGAAAACTAGTACAGCCACTATAGAGAACAGTGTGGAGATTCATTAAAAAACTGGAAATAGAGCTCCCATACGACCCAGCAATCCCACTCCTGGGCATACACACCGAGGAAACCAGAACTAAACCAGAACTGAAAGAGACACATGCACCCCAATGTTCATCGCAGCACTGTTTACAATAGCCAGGACATGGAAGCAACCTAGATGTCCATCAGCAGATTAATGGATAAGAAAGTTGTGGTACATATACACCATGGAATATTACTCAGCTATTAAAAAGAATGCATTTGAATCAGTTCTAATGAGGTGGATGAAACTGGAGCCTATTATACAGAGTGAAATAAGTCAGAAAGAAAAACACCAATACAGTATATTAATGCATATATATGGAATTTAGAAAGATGGTAACGATGACCCTATATGAGAGACAGCAAAAGAGACACAGATGTAAAGAACAGACTTTTGAACTCTGTGAGAGAAGGCAAGTATGGACTGCTTTGAGAGAAGAGCAATGAAACATGTATATTGCCATATGTGAAACAGATCGCCAGTTCGGGTTCCATGCATGAGACATGGTAGGGCGCTCGGGGCTGGTGCACTGTGATGACCCTGAGCAATGGGATGGGCAGGGAGGTGGGAGGGGGGTTCAGGATGGGGGACACATGTACACCCATGGCTGATTCATGTCAATGGATGGCAAAAACCACTACAATATTGTAATTAGCCTCCAATTAAAATAAGTAAATTTTAAAAATTAATATGTGAGAATCAACTGTTTTCCTGGAAACTATCACTGACAGGCCCCACCCAGCCTACTGTCTGTTTTTGCAAATAAAGTTTAACTGGAACACAGCCAGGCTTATTAGTTCACATACTGTCTGTGGCTATTTTTATGCTACAATGACAAAGCTGAGTAATTGTGTCAGAGTCCAAATGCGAGGTTTGCCAACTTCTGCTATAGATAAATAATAATTAAGAGTAATAAAGTGGAAAAAAAGAATCTTGTTTGCAATACAAACAATATAAGATATCTAGGAATAAGCTTTAAAATATGTATAAAAGCAAACCCCACAACTGTACAGATAAGACATAAAAGGAGACATAAATAAATGGTATTATGTATCTTATCCACCTAATGCAAAGAGCCAACTCATTGGAAAAGGCCCTGATGCTGGGAAAGATTGAAGGCAAAAGGAAAAGGGGTTGGCAGAGGATGAGATGGTTAGATAACATCACCGACACAATGAACATGAATCTGAGCAAACTCCAGGAGATAGTGGAGGACAGAGGAAACTGGCATGCGGCAGTCCCTGGGGTCGCAAAGGGTCAGACATGACTTAGCTACTGAACAACAACAACAACCTTAGTAGAAAACTAAAGCAAAACTTATCTGTCAAGGAACCACCCTGGCGGGTCCAGTGGCTAAGATTCTGCACTCCCGGTGCAAGGGGCCTGGGTTCAATCCCTGGTCAGAGAACTGAATCCCACCTGCCTCAGTTGAGGGTTCTCATGTTGAGAATTCACATGCTGCAACTAAAAAAAAAAAAAAGTATCATGCATGCCACAACAAAGACGCAGCACAGCCAAATAAATAAATAAATATTAAAAGAAAAAAAACTGTCCATACCCTTCAGCCAAAGATCACCAGGAATACATCTGTACTTATTACTTTTGCACTGTGGGGTATCTCGGTAAGAGGGTGTTAGGAAGGCTTTCTGCCTTTTCATACTGCTGAAACTGAAGCTCCAATACTTTGGCCACCTGATGCGAAGAGCTGACTCATTGAAAAAGACCCTCATGCTGGGAAAGACTGAGGGCAGGAGCAGAAGGGGGCGACAGAGGATGAGATGGTTGAAAGGCATCACCGACTCAATGGACATGAGTTTGAGCAAACTCCAGGAGATACTGAAGGACAGGGAAGCCTGGTGTGTTGCAGTCCATGCAGTTGCAAAGAGCAGGACACGACTTAGCAACTGATAAACAACAGGATTTCTAGGATTTGGACTTGTGTTTTAGGGAATTTGAGAGAGCGTTTAAAGAAGTGGGACTTTTCTCTGGATTGGATGCCTTCAGAGAGTGGGAGTATTTCTACGATGGGATATGTTAACAGCATTAACTATATGGAAGCTAACACTATAATTGGTAAAGTAGCAACAGTCACTATGCTATCCAAGATAGAAGAATGTTCATTATTTGTGTTTTGGACAATATTTGTGTTTTTGTCAGTGTTCAGGTGAGTACGGAATGATCTTGCTTTTGTTTTCATCACTCACATCACAGAGTGACCTCGTCAGATATTCTATGAAATTGTTCCTGTTCAACAAAACACCAAAGCCAGATCCTGGAAGTCTGAGGATGTTTTTCGCTTTCTCGAATCTATAAATTAAATGCAATTTCAATCTTAATCATCAGTTTTGTATGAGTTCGTTTTATGAGAGTACTTGTCAAAATCTAAGTTGGCTATCTGGACACATTAACATTAGAGAAGAGTTAGTAGCTCAGTTGGTAAAGTGTCTGCCTGCAATGCAGGAAACCCGGGTTCGATCCCTGGATCAGGAAGATCCCCTGGAGAAGAGAATGGCAACCCACTCCAGTACTCTTGCCTGGAGCATTCCATAGAGAGGAGCCTGGCGGGCCACAGTCCTTGGGATCGCAGAGTCTGACACGACTGTGCGACTAACTTAAAGAAATTAACAAAGAGAGTACTGTTAAAACTAGGCCTGAAAAGAAAAGGCAGATACATTGCATATTTGACTAAAAAATAAATAAAAGTCTTCTCTGTAATAAAAATGACCAATATACAGGTTTGGAAGACAAACTCGGATAAAATACCTTCACATGTGAAGGAGTCCCTTCTTTGTGGTGTGTGTAGGTAAACATACGTACACCACAAACAAAACACATTGTACTAATCAATGTAAAAAGTGTACTCTTAGACATCGTTTTAATTTTTTACAGTAAGAATGTATTTCGGGGGGAGGGGGGGTGGATTTCAAGAAAAAAACCCTGGGACTGGAACGCTGGGAGGCAGGATTGCAGAGGCGCCTAAGAGAAGAACTACGCTTCCCATGAGGCTCTGCGCTGACCGCCCCCGACAGGCTCCGCGCGCTTTACGCGCCAGCTTTGGCCTTAGCCTGCGAGCTGCGGAGTCGCGACCTACTATGGAGAACAGCTACGAGGAAAGCATCGACAAACGCCGCATTCACCTGCGCCCTGATACACTGCGCGACCCCGCCCCTGTCTCGCTGCACCTTCTGCCCTGCGAGGTCCCGGTTAACCGGCCCACCCCGGTGGGGCGCTTCTTCACCCCCGCCATCCGCCTGGGTCCCGACGGTGAGCGCTCGCGGCCGGACTACGGCTCCCGGCAGCCCCCGCGCCGGCATCGCGCTCTCCTCCGCGAGGAGCGGCGCAAGTCCTCCTGGGGATCGTGGTCCACCGGAGGCGGCGGGAGGACCGCTACCGGGCTTGCTTCCTTAGGCCTGGATCAGACCCTCACGGAGGCTCTCCCTGCGCCTGCCTCCTCCAGGACTGGAAGCGTCGTTTCGGGGGCGTAGTCTACGTGGCGAGGAGGTGGTGGTGCCGCCCGGCTTCGTGGGATATGTGATGACAGAAGAGAAGGCAGAGGTGTTGGTGGGGAAGCAGAGTGACCACGAGCGAGAAGAGCAGGAACTGGTGGAACCCCCAGAGGCGCTGGAGCGGGACTTCGTGAGCACTGGGGGATAGGGTTGGAAGGGAGCGGGGGTGGGAACCGCAACCTCGATGCTGAGCCGGGACCCCTTCCCGTCCCCAGGACCGCTTTATGGGAGCCACAGCCAGTTTCAGCAGCTTCACCGTGTGGGGCCTGGAATCTGTCCCTGGTCCGGATGCCAAACTGCGTGGGGCCCTAAGCTGGCCCAGCCTCGCTGCCGCGGTGAGTAGATGGATGGGCCCTCTCCCTCCCAGGCTTTATCTAGCACCGCGCCCCACCCCACCCTCGCTGGAGTGAATCTAGGGGCTTTGGGGCTGGGGCGAATAACGGGGCAGATGGAGACCTGGTCTGACTGGAGGATTAGACTGGGTAGGGGCAGCATGGCTTCCCCAGCACTCTTCTCTAGTCTTCTAGAAGGGCTATGATTCTGAATATCTGGGCCACCCAGTCACTACACTGCAGAAATCCAACAGCAGAGGTGATTCCTTTTGCAGATTCACGCACAGGTACCCGAAGACTGAGAACCAGAGCTTGACATTGAAAGCCACCGAACCCCTCACCCCAGTAAACCTCCTCTTCAGTGTGAAGCCAGAGTCCTTCACCCAATAAAGGAGCTTTTCACAGAATCTGTGAGTCTGCCAGCACTGCCCCTTCTCCCACAAGAACCTTCCATAGCTCTGACCTCTAGAAACAATTTATTGCCAGGGGGCAATGGGGCAGAAGAGGCCAGAATTTTGCAGCCAGTACCCACCAGAACCCAGTTCCTACTTTACAAAAGAAGTTTGTACAGCTGCCAGTCCCCTGTACAAGGCACCCCCACCCCCCATCTTACTATACACAGCTGCCTGGCTCCTTCTGGTCCCTGGTTCACAGCAGGCCTGGGCCTGCTGCCAGCTGACCGTGGAGTTGACGTGAGCCCTGAGCTCGCCTTGGTGCTGGGCACCAGCCGGCCTTGACCAGGCCCGTCCTCTCCTTTTGGAGTGGTCCTCAGCCCTGTCTCCCTTGGGGTGCCTCTTGGAGACCCCAGTGGGGGCGGGATGGCTGCCAGCTTCAGTTCTGCTGCCTTTGCCGGCATTCCCAGGGCAGTGTCCGGTCACCACTTTCCCCTCTTGCTCCAGTCCTTGGGAGTGAAGTGCAGACACTTGGAGTCGATCCGAAGAAGCCGTTTGAGCATAGCCCGTTCGTGCCCATCCACGATGTCCTCCGACAGGGTGAGGATATACTGGCCCTGGACAGGAGATGGGGCCAGGCAGGTCAGCCCACATGGGGCCTGCACTCAGCATCCCTGCACACACCTGTCTCCCCCTGCCTGCCTCCCTACCTTGTAGTAGTTGATGAGGTTGAGGTACTGTAGAGTGGATATGACATCCTCCTTCTTGATGCTGGTAATTTCACTGATCTCACTGTGGGAGGGCAAAGATCAGATCCCCTGGGGGCCTCCATCTCTGCCCCAGGCCCCAGTAGCCCGAGGAGTGAAAAAGCCCGGGAACAAAAGGTCATGCCATGCACCCCCGGGTAGGCAGGGCCAGGCTCACTTGATGGTGATCTGTGGCCTCTCCCCGCTCTCTGACTTCAACCCCATCAAGATCTCCAGGATGGTCTGGGACCAGTAGCTTCGGTAGGACAGGAGGCCAAGGTCCGAGAGGGGCTTCTCGGGGGTCCCCGTTTTCCCTTCCACTTTGGAGAGTTCGTAGCCTAAAGCAATGGAGCAGGAGGGGGTTGATAAACAGTCACAGTATTGTGCCACTAGTGTCTTAAGAACGCAGGCGACCGGGTAGACTGCATGGTCCCGCCCTGGGCCTGCCACGTGGTGGTTCTGTGGTCTGGGTATGTGGCTTATCTGTTCGGTGCCTTAGTTTCCTCATAAAGGACTAGCATGCCTACTCTTCAGCTGTGTGCTGAAGCTACGATCAACCAGGAGCCAGCAAGGGCTTACAGGTGGGATGGGGAAGTGCAGAGAATGGCTTGTGGAAAGAAAGTGCCTCCAGTTTTCCTTGGTCCTGCCAGACTCTCTGTCTGGGTATGTGAGGAGAGAAGTGGGCCAGGCCCCGCTCTGCTCCAGGCCAGAGGCTGCTCAGATTCTCAGTCACAACAGTCCCCCAGCTGTGAGCGGAGAAGCATCAGCGGCTCTAAGACCAGGCTGGGTGTCTGGGAGGAAGTAAGGCGAGTGATGCCAAAGCACTTCCCAGTCAGAGAAGGCTGTTCCTCAGCAGTAACTGCCTTTGCCAGGGCTCCTTCCCTCCCAGTTCGGCTGCTCTGCCCTCCTTACCCTAGTTACACTAGGTACTGGTAGGTGGTTCTCGGTGAGACCCTCAGGCCCTGCAAAACCCTGAGTGGCTTCACGCCTGTTGGACAGTCTTCGTTTTTCCCATCAGGGCCCTGAGATGTCTCCACTATTTCTAGAAGCCCTTCTTCACCCTCAGTCATCACAAGCCTTGTGTTGGGAGTGTAGCCTTTCTGCTTTCCCCTTGATACATCTTTATTAGCCAGTCTGACCCTCTTGCCCAGCCTCCTGTGATTTCCACCAAACAGCCTGGTGGGGAAGACAGAGGCCTCTGCTTCGGAGGCAGGAAGCAGGGAAGAGAGAAGGGGCACACTGGCACTCCCACCCAGCTTTGCTGGGCGGGCACGCAGAGTCCTGACCAATCAACTGGAAGCCACACTTGCCGGCTCAGTGGCAGGGACTCCTGGCCCCTCCCAGTGAACACCCCCCCCACCCCCTGCCCTCAGGAGCTGCCTGGACTGGTGCTTCTGGTATCCTGTCTGCTCCCGCCAGGCACAATGAGCGCATCTCCTTGGTGGCCCCACACACATCCCGTCTCCACTGGGTCTGAGCTCCAAGGCTTAAGCTGAGTTTCCTAAGCATCCTCCTGCTCTGCCAGGCAGAGGGCTTCCTGAAGATGTGACCCCATCTTGGCATCTTTCTACCAATAAAACTCAAGGTGCCCCGTGATCAAGTCAGGCCTCATGTCTTCGTCAGGGAGCCAAGGCTCCCTCCTCATCTCCCAGGTCACAGTGTGGTTATTCCAAGGGTGCAGTGAATGGTGAGATGAACAGAATGAGGGGAGGAGGCTGGGCAGTGGAGGGGGCCTTGGAGGCCAGTGCGGAGTTCACATTTGACGAGGGGCAGAGGCCAGATCCCCTGTGAGTCATGTTGATGTGACATCCACTGTCCACAAGGCTCAGGCAACAAGTGGGGAAATGAGCCACAGATCCTTGCCCAGGAACATGTACAACTGCACAGGATCAGACAGCTGAGCAGGAGTGGCTCACTTGGCTTCTGCCCATGGCCCTGGGCAGGGGCTGATGAGTCAGACTTGGGAGCAGCTGAGTGGTGCTCAGCACCATGGCCAAGGAACTACAAGGGACTGAGAGCCTAGCGCAGACAAGCAGGGCAGTCACCCCAGAACGGAGAGAACCCTGGGAGGGTCCCACCTTTATTTTTGGCCAGTTCCCATGGTGACTGGGCTGCAAGGCCACGTCTGGGAACACAGCAGCCCCGTCTGTCTGTGTGTGCAGCCCCCTGGGGCCTGGGCCAGCCTGCTACCGCCCTGGCCCCTGGCCAGCAGCCTGAGTACTCACTGAACTCGATCAGCAGCTTGCCGTAGCCCCGGCGCTGGTAGGGGGGCAGGGTCAGGATGCAGGCCACGTTGTAGTCTTCCGTGGACTCCTTTTCCTGGAAAAGATGGGCCGGAGTGAGCATGAGGAGAGGGACCCAGCTCAGGGCAGGACTGAGGAGCCGCCTGCAGAAGCGCTCACCTTGGAGAAGTAGCCCACTATATGGAAGCCCTTGCAGTCATACTCTGTCATGACGTAGAAGAGGAAAGGGTCTGTGTCATAGTATAACGTCTTGTGGTCGAGGAAACACTTAGCCAGAAGACACAGGTTTTGGGAGTAGCTCTGCGAAAGACAAGGTCTGTCACCACCCCGCGTGGCTCTCCTGGAGCATGGCCGTCAGGCTGGGGTCAGCCTAGAGCTTCTTTGTCCCCCAGGCTGAAAGGGGATAAGCCTTCTTCCCTGGTGCCTGAACCCATCCCTGGGCCAGGCTGTCCCTAGGCACGGGCCCTTCTTAGTGTCCAGCAGTCCCTGTTCCAGCTGTGATGGTATTCAAGCACCCACCTCCTGGTGAGCTGGGCAGGTTTGCCCCTACTCCCCGCACCTCCACCTAACTGGCCTGGAAGGCCTCCACTGCCCTCTGCACAGTTACCAGTCAACAAACTGATGTGTGCCCCCACAGGAAGACTGACCAAGGCTTATGAGAAAAGCTCTGCCTGTGTGACAGTCTCAGGAGTTCGGCTGTCAAAAAGCCACAGTACTCTCTTGCCCAGTCACACCTCCTGAAAACACATCTGCTCGTCTACAACACAGGTGAAGAAGTCTGGGGTCTCTCAAGGACTGCCCCAGTAAAATTCATCTTGGCACTGTACTCCATGCTCACAACTCTCCTGCATTTCACCGGAGGCTTTTTAAGCACCTGCTAGGCATGGCCACTTGGATACCCAAGCCCGCACCTAACACAGTTAACAGTGATTAAAGCAGCATCTTTCTCTTAAGCTCCCCCAGCACCCAAGCCAGAGCTCTCTCCTGCCAGTCAGTGATTGGCCCTCCCTCCCCACCCTCCTGGCCCCAGGGATGGAGGCCTTTCGCTCTTAAAGGTCCTTGCAGGCTATTCCCTTCTCCCTCCCCACAGCCAGACTAAGGCAGGTGTGAGGCCCCAGACCTGTAGTGTCCCCTTTTCCCAGCTGACCCCAATCCCACCACCTGAACTCTGTCCTTGTAACAGCCTTCCCTCATCCTGTCTGTGCTCCAGCCCGAAAGACAGCGCTTCGAGGCTCACTATCTACCCAGGCACACCTCTTTTTATTGACTTTCACAGACACTGCATTTTTTTTCTTAACAAAGGTTTGTGGCAACCCTGCCTTGAGTTTATCAGTGCCATTTTTCCAGTAGCATTTGCTCACATCACATCTCTGTCACCTTTTCATAATTCTTGCAATAATATTCCAAACCTTTTCATTATTGTATTTGTTACAATTATCAGTGATTCTGGATGTTACCACTGTAATTTTTTTTTTAGATACTGTTATTACACACTTAATAGACTGTGGCACAGCATAAATGTAACTTTTATATAGTCTGGGCAACCAGTAAATCTTGTGTGACTGCTTTATTTTGATGTTCACCTTATCGCGGTGGTCTGGAACTGAACCTGCAGGGTCTCTGGGTCTCTGACCACCTGCAGTGGTCTCAGGCTACATCCACTCCTAAGAACCCACTGCTGGGGGTTCCTGTACCCACCCTACCCTTGTGGCAAGGTTCAGAGGTTACCTCCTCTGTGAAGCCTAGCTGATCACCCCAAGATCTTGACAGCCCACTTTTCTCATGAAACATGTCACACTGGGATCCAAACTGCTACTGGCCTGTTTGTTTTCCCCTGTGAGCTCTGAGAGAGCAGAGATTTTGTCAAACTCCTGGTCACTCTGTGTCTACCAGCACCTGAGATCTGTTAGTTGTAACAGTGTCCTCCTGAGCTGAAGAAGCTGCTCACTCGACTCCCCCAGACTCCCAGCACCAAAGACTTCCTGCTGCCTCTCAGCCACTGACCTTGTTCTTACGTCCATCGATCTCAAAGAAGGAGATGGTACCCTTGCGGTATATCTCATTGCCTGGAGGATGTCGCAGGTCACACTTGGTCTGAGGAAGAGAGGAGAATCAGGCACAGGGGCTGAGGTGAAGGGTGGGCTGCTAGGAGGGTGACCCCTGGGACTCCTCATACCAAGTGACGCTGCAGACACTTGAGGCTTCGGCCATACTTGAGACAGAACTCGCAGAGGTAGAGGACGGGCAGCGCGGTGAGCTCCTGAGGGTACGGGGAGAAGTACCACGGCTTGAGGCGGTGCCGGCCCAGCTCGATGCACTCGATGTTCTTCATCCGGGTGACGATGTCGTCGTGGCTCCGGTCAGATACCAGGCTCCCAGTCATGCGAGGAGCGGACGGGATTCCATCTGAGCTGTCCTGGGAGTCCTGCCCAAGGCCCATGAAAGATTCCAGGTTACAGAAGACAACTCAAGCAGCACACTCTACAGCTCACAGCCCTTCCACAGGTTTCCTTGTCCAAACCTAACAGCAACCCTCCTAGGGGAGGTGTAATCCCCACTTGCCAACTGAAAAAACACAGACTTGGATGATTTTCACCTGGAAGGTGAAAAAGATCACCTAGTGCCAGATCTGAATCAGTTCCACCTCACTCCTAATTCCAACACCATTTCTGCCCAGTACCCCTTGTTCATTTTTAAAGTAGTCATTAAACTCCGTGTCCTCCTTATGTCCCCTTTGTTTCACCCAGCTTCCCTCCTCCCCAGACCTACCTCATCAGTGCCCAAGCAATTCGATTTCCGCTTCCGCCCGGGCTGAGCTGCCACTGCCCTCCGGGCTGATCCATTCTGCAAATGATAGGGGAGGGACAGAAGGGGTGTCTGTGAGGTAAGCCCAAAAGGGGCTACCAGAGGGTAGGAGGGCAGAAGAGATGGCTTGGGGGACTCACCTGGGGGAAAACTGAGGCCGGGGCTGTCTCGCTGGGCACTGGAGTTGCTGGTGAAACCACCTCCACCTTCCGTTTCTGCAGAGAGAAACCAGGACAGGTGGGTCAGAAGGTAGAGAAGGTGGGACCTGAGAGGAAAGCAAGGTCCCTGGAATTGCTGAGGGTACCGTTGAGCGGTGGTTGGGCTGCAGGCAGGAGCTGGAGGAGAGCGGCTGGTCGGGCTCGCCACCGGGAATGGCCTCCCGCTCCTTGGGCAGGTTGAAGCGGAGTGTGATCTGAACCGGGATTGGCAAGGTCTTCCCGCTGGCCTGGGCGGAGGCCGGCTGTAGAGATAGGTCCAGGGTCTTCCTCTGGGGCTGGGATGGTGGTGGGATGGGGAAGGGGAGTAGGGCCCCCTCGGCACAGAGTGATCAAACCCCACCCTCTGCCCTCTCAAGGACACAGGTACAGTCACTGGACTCTGGAAGCTACATCTGCAGTTTGGCCCCCATCCTTTACAAGCTGAAGCCAGGGTGGGAGGGCACAGCCTCTTGCCTATCTGGGAGCCACTGAGGCCAAGAGATTTGAAAAGTAGGCAGGAGAGAAGAGGTGAAGCAGGGGACCTACTCACCACCTCTCTCTCTGGTGAGCCGGGTCGGGACCCAGGAAGTCCGTTCTTGGTGGGGGTCTTGGCCTCTTTCTTGGGGAACTGGATCTTCTTCAGGTCCAGCCGCTCATGGGTCACCCATTCATCCAGGCGTTTGTTGACTGCAGCAGTGGGGATGGCTCAGGAAGGAGTGCCAGAGGCTGCCCCCCAACCCTCCAGCCCCACCTCATCCCGGCCCAGAACTCACAATCAATGTAATGGACGTAGAAAAGCTTCCGGCCACTGATGTCCTTCACGCTCAGAATCTCAGCGAGTGCTGTGGGAACAGCAAAGGCAAGGGCCTTAGACGGGCCAGGCCATGAAGCTCCACCCTCCTACCACCTGAACTCCATCACCAGGCCCGAACCCTAAAGCCCCAGCACTTGGAAATGCTCTCTCAAGCCCCGGTTAGTCACCAAGTGCCATCCCCTCTTCAAGCCCTGCCCTGTCCAGCTCTTAAGGCTAAAAGCCACGCCCCTCCTGAGTATCTGCGCCCCGCCCGCTCCAGGATTCTAGAGGCCCCACCCCCTCCCCGGGGTTCTGTTGACTCTCCCCCCGCCTCTCGCCCTCAGGTTCCTTAGCCCCGCCCCCCGACGTCACTCACGCCACTCATCTTCGTTGTCCTGGTTCCGCCGCAGCACGGGCAGGCGGCAGCCCTCGATTATCTCCCCCTGGGGAGACAGCGCGGCGCCAGGGTCGGCTACTGGGGGGCCTCGGGCTCTACCCACCTCCCCTGGCTCCCTCCGCCCCGCCCCGGGCACCGGACTCACCACCTCCGCCATCTTCCCTCCCTCCACTGCCACTTCCGGCCCCTCTGGGAGCCGTCACTTCCGGGACTAAGCACGTTGTAGGCCCGGTCTTCCCCGAAGCGGCTTTACGAGTAGGTTCTTAAGAGGCACCGCCGCCCAGCTTGCTGACGGAGCCGGCCAGTTTGGTTGGCGGGGGCATAGAGTGTTTTAAAGCTCAGGTCAGGTCCTGGGTGGAATCCCCACAACATGTGCAACGATTGGAGGAAAACTGAGTCCGTCACGTGACGCTCACCGGGTGCGACGCCGGTCACGTGGGACTGGTGTTTTTACCTAGCGGGCGGACGCTTGGGCGTCTCCTAGTGGCGTCAAGGCTGCGTCGCGGGGAGTGAACGTGCGTGCTCGGCTCGGGGGTTGAGGGGCGGATCTCGAGAAGTGGGCGTCAGGACCCCAGCAGGTTGTGGACTTTCTTAGGGTTGGGGGCTCACGGAAGAAGGTTTTTGGTTGTTTGTTTTTTATATTAGGTTGCTAATTATATGAGTTGTTATTGTTCAGACGTCTCAGGCGTGTCGACTCTTTGTGACGCCCGTGAACTGCCAGGCTTCTGTGTCTTTCCGTATCTCCCGGAGTTTGCGTAAATTCATGTCCGTTGAGTCAGAGATGCTATCCAACCATTTCATCCTCTGCCCTCCCCTTTTCTTGCCCTCAGACTTTCCCAGAGTCAGTGTCTTTTCTTCGCATCAGGTGGCCAAAGTATTGGAGTTTTCCTGTTGAGGGGGAGTCCTTCCCATGAATAATGAGAGTTGATTTATTTTAGGATTGATTAATATGTTATTCCTTCATACATTCAGCAACTGTTTAATAATCTGCTACCGTGCCCCAGGCATTTATCTAGGAGCCTGGGATACATCAATGAATAAAATAACTTGCAGCTCCTGGAACTTGAATTCTTGGAGGCTGAGAGGGAAAAGAGGGGTGTGGATCACAAACAGTAAATACATTTTTAAAATAAATTATCTAGTCTATTAAAGAACGAGAAGTGTTTTGGGAAACAAGCAGCAATGAAACACAAGGTGCAGGGAATGAATAGGTAAGCAAACTATGGCCTACAGGTCAGATCCAACCCTATTGTAGTTTTTCTGCACTCAGTGGGCAAAGAATGGTCTTTATACTCTTCTTAAAGCTTGGGGAGACATAAATAGACTATTTTATGATACATGGAAATCATGAAATTCAAATTTCAGGGTCCATAAATAATGTTTTATTGAAACATAGCCACCATCTCATTCATTGACGTTTTGTCTGTGACACCTTCCACGTTAAAGCTGAATGCCCACAAGGCCTAAAACATTTGCTGTCTGGCCATTTACAAAAAATGTTTGCCAACCCATGCTTTATCTTCTATTGTGCTATCAAACGGGGCGTCCCTGGTGGCTCAGTGGTAAAGAATCTGGCTGCAATGCAGAAGACACGGGCTCAATCCCTGGGTGGGGAAGATCCCTTGCAGGAGGAAATGGCAACCCATTCCAGCATTCTTGCCTGGAGAAATCCATGGACAGAGGAGCCTGGTGGGATCACAAAGAGTTCCCCATGGGACCTGGGAGAGTTCAGGCAGCTCTGAGCAACTAACACATGTCAAATACAAAAATAGGTTCTTAATGTGTATGTTCTGTGACCAACTTGTTCACTTAGTAACGTAAATCGAACACTTCTCACATTCTAGAGCACTATTTTAATGGTACATAGTGTTTTGTTGCTTATATGCACCTTATCTGCCACAACCAATTTCGTCTTGTTGAATATTCAAGTTCCAGATTTTCCATCTTACAAACAGTGCCACAGAGAGCGTCTTGATACATACAGCTTTTCACATATTCATCCCAATATGTTAGCAATTTCAGTCTCTGCCCCCTTATCAAAGTCACCAGTGACCCCCATATTCTTCATCCAGTGGCCACTTCTCAGACTTTTTATCCGTGGCGTTTGGCATGGTTGGTTACTTCCTACCTTGAAACTCTCCTGTCCTGGTTTCTAGGATACCAGGCTTTCCTGATTTCTTTCCGGCTTTCCTATTGTTTCTTATCTCCTTAATGGGTTGTTCCTCTTGTTCGTGACCTCTAAACCTTCCCAGGCCCCAAGTTCGGTCCTGGACTCTACCTGTATATCCACAATCAGTCCCTTCATGATGCCCTGGAAGCTCATGGCTTTAAATACCATTCACATGCTGAGGTTTCTCAAATTTATACCTCTGTATTTAGCCACTTGGCTTACTCCCTTAGCTTATTCAAGTCTTTGCTGAAATGTCACCTTCCCCTTTAAGTCACCTCTGACTTCCCTAGTTAAGTCTGCTCATCCCCCGCCACCTCATCTCCCTCCTCTGCTTCATTTTCCTTCATAGTATTCAGCTGTCAAATCATGTCTTTTCCTTATTCACTTGTTACTGTCTTTCCCTCACTAGAATGTAATATCCATGAATACAGTGTTTATGTAGTTTTCCCAGTGCTATTTCCCCAGCCTCCATAGCGCCTGTCTCATAGTAGGTATTCAGCTAAACTGTCGAATGGATGAAGAATGGGGAGCCAGAGATGTGAACTGACATTTGCTGCCAAGAGTGATCAGTCTTGTAAGGTGAGAGAGAAACCTGGGACTCAGGGAAGACCATTCCAGGTGGGGGCCCAGGCAGGGGTCTCAGAGCATCTGGTAAGTGACCCGCAGTTGAGAGGGGGGTAGCGTTGGCTGGAGAAAGGGGTTGGGACTGTTTCAGGCAGTGAGGACAGCAACAGCAGAGAGAAAAGAAACACTTGGTGATGGGACTTCCCTGGTGGCAGTGGTTAAGACTCTGCACTTCCACTGCAGGGGCCACTGGTCGGGGAACTAAGATCCCATGAGCCATGCGGCCTGGTCAGAATAAAAGAGTTGGTAAACAGGTCATCGGCCATTCACCAGTATTTGCTGAGCACCCACTGTGCGCCATCCCTGCAGGAGCAACTTGAACAAGTACAGATGAGTCCCCTGCTCTAGTGGGTCAGATGTGAGCAGCTGACAACCCAAAGCATAAGAGCCCCTTCGGACAGTGGTAAGTACTGTGACAGCGTGGGAACAGTGTGAGGAGCTGGTCAGCTGGGGCCTGTCTAGAAGCTGTCGCACAGAATTCCTACCACAGAGAGTCAGACAGTGTCCCTTGCCAGCCGCTTCCAGAGGGAATGTGTCCATCCATGTGGATCAGACATGTGTGGGCTTCAGGATGGTCTCATCTGGAGATGGTGAAGTCACCAGCAGTGTGGGTTCTGTTCCCGGTCTGGCCTCCACACGGTTAGTCTCCTCCTACATTCAAGGTGGCCCCTTCTTATGGTTGCAGCACAGCTGCCCACGGTTCTAGAGCAGGGGTCCCCAATCTCTGAGCCAAGAACTGGTACCGGTTCATGGCCAGTTAGGAACTGGGCTGCTCAGGAGGTGAGCAGCAGGCAAGCCAGCGAAGCTTCCTCTACAGCTTCCCATTACTCTCATTTCTGCCTGAACAGTCCCCACCCCACCCACCCCACTCCCGGTCCGTGGATAAATTATCTTCCATGATACTAGTCCCTGGTGCCACAAAGGTTGAGGACCACTGCTCTAGAGCCAGCAGTGTCCAGGGCCTCATCTATGGAGAAAAGTTGTGGAAGGAAAGCCCTAGGATTGAACCATTTGGGGACATGTGCCTCTGCCGCAGCCAATCTCTGTGACCAGGAGAATTCTACTGGTGTACACAAACCAGGGCCCACCTGCAGGGGTAGGGTGGGGTGCAGTTCAGTGTATCCCGGGAGAGAGAACCTGGGTGGGGTTGGGGATGGGGGAGAGTGATGATCTGGGAATCAGAAAGCTGGCCAGTCCTGGCCTTTTATGGAACTTTTGTAAGGAAGTCAGGTTTTGCTTTAAGTGCAGTGGGAGTCAATGGGGAATTTAGAGCAAGAAGATTAAGTGTGGGATAGATAGAGAAGATGTGGTACATATGTACAATGGTTATTTAGGTTTTTTAGTGAAGTAGCTTAAGTCGTGTAAAACTTTGCAGCCCCATGGACTGTAGCCTATTAGGCTCTTCTGTCCATGGGATTTTCCAGGCAAGAGTACTGGAATGGGTTGCCATTTTCTTTTCCAGGGGATCCTCCTGACCCAGGGATTGAACCCAGGTCTTCTGCATTGCAGGCAGACTCTTTATCGTCTGAGCCATAGTACTCTAGAGGTTAGGACAATGGAATATTACTCAGCTGTTAAAAAGAATGAAATAATGCCATTTACAGCAACATGGATGGGCCTAGAGATTATCATACTGATGAAGTCAGAGAAAGAGAATTATGGTATGATATCACTTGTATGCGGGGCTTTCCAGGTGGCACTAGTGGTAAAGAACCCACTTGCCAAATAATGCAGGAGATATAAGAGACGTGGGTTCGATCTGTAGGTGGGGAGGATCCCCTGGAAGAGGGCATGGCAACCCACTCCAATATTCTTGCCTGAAAAATCTCACGGACAGAGGAGCCTGGTGGGCTACAGTTCATAGGGTTGCAAAGAGTCAGACACAACTGAAGCAACTTCATATGCAGCACACACACTTGTGTGCAGAATCTAAAAAGAAATTATACAGATGAGCTTATTTACCAAACAGAAACAGACTCACAGACTTGGAGAATGAACCAATGGTTACCATGGAGGAAGAGTCGGGGGGAAAGGATAGTTAGGGAGTTTAGGAGTGATACATACACATGTATGTAAAATGAATAACCAACAAGGACCCATTGTAGAGCACAGGGAACTCTGCTCAATGTTATGTAACAACCCAAATGGGGAAAGAATTTGAAAAAGAGGAGATGCGTGTATTTGTGTAGCTGAGTCATTTTGCTGTCCACCTGAAATTAACACAGTATTGTTAGTCAACTGTACTACAACATAAAAAGTTAAAAACAAAGAAAGAACATAATGTATCTGACTAAAGGTTCAAAAGATGCCTGAGGAAATGATACTTTTGGGAACAGGATATGAGTAGCAGCCTGAGTGTAGCT